AAGGCGTAGGGTTGCCAGCTCCCGGTTGGGGGATACCTGGAGATTTTGGGGGGCGGAGATTGGGGAGGGGAGGGGCCTCAGCAGGGTACTTTTCTCCAAGGGGGCTGATCTCAGTTGCCCGGAGATCAATTGTAATAGCGGGAGGAGGAGGTCTCCAGCCACCACCTGGAGTAGGGATCCCAAGTCCCCCCGGGGGGCGGGGAAACCCCCGCCACTGGGGCCCATTCCTCGGCGGTGCCAGATCGGGCTCTGGGGGGAACTCCACCCCGATGTGTGCGTCACCCGGAAGTGACGCGGGCACGCTGGGCACGCCGGGGGCGGGGCCACGGCCATACAAGGGATAACTCTATGGTTTTCCCTGTTATAGCCGTGGCCCCGCCCCCAGCGTGCCTGGCGTCCTCCCGTCACTTCCGGGTGACGTGCGTGCGGCGCTCGCGCACATGACGCCAGCCAGGAGCCCCCCACTCCCGGCGAAGATAGACTTGGCAACCCTAACCTAGAGGTTAGCAACAAAAGTGCGATACACGGATGAAGCGGATGCAAAAAGAAAGGGGGGAAATCCTCCGTATAAATAAACCTCCAAAAGTACTCAGAGCACTAAATACGATACTCACCAGTTATATACATAATCAGCCATAGCAAACATACACAACCGTCGCAGTACAAATCTTGAAGTTCATACGAATAAACAGTTCAATAGGGAAAGGTCAACGTTCATGAGACACCGAACAAAGGGTTCAGCCAGTTTCCGTGTCACTGCATTCTCCCAAATGGTTTTGTGTCTAACGGGAGAACGCAGCGACATGAAATGTTTTCCTGTGCAGGGATTTTGGTTCTTGTTAAGTTGCTCCAGTTCCATCTTGGATAAAGCTTTGGTGAAACGAGGGGCTAACAACGGCGGTTTGCCCCGTCAGCTGGAACTAAACTTGCTGAGCTGCTATATGAACAGAACTTTAAGTCTTCAAGTACACAGGATCCTACTCACCTGAAGTACCATTGGTGTACAGAGTGGACTTTTGAATTTGGAATTTGCAATAGAAGAGGAGGAGGAGGAGATTGGATTCATACCCCAGTTTCACTACCTGAAGGAGTCTCAGAGTGGCTTACAATCTCCTTTCCCTTCCCCTCCCCGCAACAGACACCCTGTGAGGTCGGCGGGGCTGAGAGAGCGTTTTCCAGAATTGTCCTTGAGAGAACAGCTCTGACAGAACTATGGCTTGCCCTAGGTCACCCAGCAGCTGCAAGTGGAGGAGTGGGGACCCAGGCCCGGTTCTCCCAGGTTAGAGTCCGCGCACTTAACCACGACACCAAACGACACTACACCACTGCACCACGAAACCACTACACCAAATTGAATCCTTTGTTCTCTGTGACTCATGAACGTGGATCTTTCCCCATTGCACAGTTTATTCATATGAATTTCAGGATTTGTATTGCGATGGTGGAGCTGCGGTGGCTCAAGTGGTTAAGACGCTGAACTGCAGGCTGTGGAAGGTCGGTCGTTCAGCAGTTCGAGACCCGGGTGTGCCGCTTGATGGAGTGAGCTCCCGTCTCTAGTTCCAGCTCCTGCCAACCTAGCAGTTTGAAAGCAAGGAATTGCAAGTAGATAAATAGGTACCACTTCGTTGGGAAGGGAACAGCGTTCCGTGCGCCTCGGTGTTTAGTCGTGCCGGACACATGACCACGGAAACGTCTTCGGACAGCGCTGGCTCTTCGGCTTGGAAACGGAGATGAGCACCGCAACCCTAGAGTCGGACTCGACTGGCTTTCGAGCAAGGGAACCTTTACCTTTACATTTACTGCGATGGTTCTGTATGTTTGCTATGGCTGATTTTGCGTATGATTTGTGCGTATTTGTGCTCTGAGTACTTTTGAAGGTTTATTTATACGGAGGATTTTTTTCTTTTCTTTTTGCAGCCACCTGGAGATTGGCAACCCAGCAGGGGAGAGTTTGCCTTGGTACATTTTCACCTTATCCCTTTATGGTAGTGCATGCTCAGCTACACAGGCGCACACCCCTGGCCTTTTATCCGCACCATCCGGCTCCTTGTCGGTTAAAAATGTCCCAAGGCCGCCCCGTGAGTCTAGCCCAGCTGGCCTTCTGTGCATTTCCTCGCATCTGGCCCTGAAACACCGCACTTGTCCATGCTCAGTCCTCCTTTGAGAACCGGATTTTTCAATCCCCACCTCGCGCGTCTGAGTGGCCCACGGTTCTCTATATTTATTTCCACTTCAAAACTTTCCAGGGGCCCTTTCTGCCCGACGGAAGGTCCCCCACAGTGGAAAAATGTCAAAGCCGTTAGAATGTGCTTTTAAAAATAAATGCCGAGGGTTTAAAAAGCAATTGAAAATAATAATAAGAGAAGAGATTGGATTTCTACCCCGCCCTTCACTACCCGAGGGAGTCTCAGAGCGGCTTACAATCTCCTTTCCCTTCCCCTCCCCACAACAGACACCCTGTGAGGTAAATGGGGGCTGAGAGAGCTCTTTCGAGGACTGCCATTGAGAGAACAGCTGAGCCAGAACGATGGCTTGCCCAAGGTCATCCGGCAGCTGCAAGTGGAGGAGTGGGGAATCAAAGCCGGTTCGCCCAGATTTTTTCTCCCCAACATGGTTTTATTCATTTTACATTAACAACAAGATTAACAACAGGATAGGCCTGTACATATAGCCTGCATATATTATTTTAATATATAACTAAAGGTGAAGAGTATTTATTACATCAGGTATTGTTCCTTTAGTGGTTAGATGTGCTAATATGGGAGACCTGAAGGAGTCTCAGAGCGGCTTAGAAACACCTTTCCCTTCCCCTCCCCACAACAGACACCCTGTGAGGTAGGTGGGGCTGAGAGAGCTCTCCCGAGGACTGCCCTTGAGAGAATAGCTCTGAAGGAACTTGTGACTGACCCAAGGTCACACCAGCAGCTGCAAGTGGAGGAGTGGGGAATCAATCCCGGTTCTCCCAGATTAGAGTCCGCACACTTAACCACTACACCAAAATAACAATTAAAGCAAATAAAGCAAAAAATAAAGAATTAAACAAGGCGCTCGAAGAACCTGGCCTCAAAACGCACTCTCCCCCTGACGTACCTGCGGGACCGCCTCCTCCGGTACACCCCCGGGAGAGCATGACGCGCTTCAGAGAACGACTTGCTGGTGGCCCCTGGCCCTAGAGACACCCAGCTGTCCTCAACCAGGGACAGGGTCTTTTCAGCCCTGGCCCCGTCCTAGTGGAACTCTCTGCCAAACACTATCAGGGTCCTGCAGGACCTTATGCAATTCCGCAGGGCCTGTAAGGCAGAGACGTTCTGCCAGGCATTTGGTTGAGGACGGCGATGGCTTCCATCATGGCTGGCACCCTTCCCCAATCCATATCCTTGGAGAATCTACTCTAGGGGTGTCAAACATGCGGCCCGGGGGCCGGATAAGGCCCCCAGGTTGGCTTCCATCAGGCCCGCGGTGGAACTGGCCATCTCCTGCTTCCAGTTCTGCTGCTGCATCATAGCTTGTTTCGCCAGACTCTCTCTATCACTCAGCCATTTCATGTTCTAACCTGGGTCCTGGACTCAGAACTCTGAGCGTGAGATGTCTGTGGGGAATGTCAATATATCAAAAGTAGGTTTGCAGCTCACAGAGCTAATGTTTTCAGCACGTTTTTATTTGAAGTAAAAACGAAATCGTTGTGTCCTTTACAAAGTTTATATCTTCGCTGCCTGGCGTTACATTTTATGACACACGTGGCCCGGCCCAACAAGGTCTCATTTATGTCAGATCCGGCCCTCATAACAAATGAGGTTGACACCCCTGGTCTACTCCCCCCCCCCCCCCCGCCCATGAAGCGCCCACAGGCCAGAAACGGGAGGGAACCACAAAATTTCACCACTTGATTTTAGTCAATGAATGATATGTTCTGAGGATGATTTTATGGTTGTATGGTTTTTCGCCAAGAGCCCATTTTTTTGAGGGGGCAACAGCAAAATGGCTGCCAGGGGAGGCGACCACGGCTCTACAGCAATTGAGGCAGAAGTTTTGCTTGATGGGATGCCCGTTAATCGGCACAGCCAATCAGAAGCCCTGCTGCACACAAGTCCCACCCCCGGCACCTTGGGGCTTTGCTAGCATTATTCTTGCTTGATTCTCGGTATTACTCTTTGAGTAGTGCCCGGATAAGAATACATACAAGTGAGGATTTTTTTTGGAATGATTGTCTTCTTTAATGACTCTGACTTATGCAACAGCGATTAATTAATCGATGCACTGTGATTAGTTCCACTGATGAAGTGTGCCGAAACGAGGCTGTTACATCCGGAATCCTCGTGTGACTTCTGCCTGACTTTGTGTGACTTCTGCCTGATTTTTTTTTACTTCTGCCTGACGTTCTGATCCCTTTGGATTGATTCTTTGGACCCTTTTTGGACCCCAGTTGTTTGACCATTCTCTGACTTATAGCTTGTGCTACGGTATTTATATTCCTTGTCTATGTGGTCATGTTACGTTGCTTAATTCTTTATTGGATTATGTATTTGCATAACCTTTAAAGGTAAAGGTAAAGGTTCCCTTGCTGGAAAGCCAGTCGAATCCGACTCTAGGGTTGCGGTGCTCATCTCCGTTTCAAAGCCAAAGAGCCAGCGCTGTCCGAAGACGTTTCCGTGGTCATGTGGCCGGCATGACTAAACTCCAAGGCGCACGGAACGCTGTTACCTTCCCACCGAAGTGGTACCTATTGATCTACTTGCAATTTCTTGCTTTCGAACGGCTAGGTTGGCAGGAGCTGGAACTAGAGATGGGAGCTCACTCCATCATGCGGCACACTCGGGTCTCGAACAGCTGAACTACTGACCTTCCACAGCCTGCAGTTCAGCGTCTTAACCACTGAGCCACCGCAGCTTTACCTGCATAATAATTCTTAGTTATATTTTTGTGTTTTATTACAGTGTATTTGTTATTTGCATGGGTGCTTATCGAGACAACATTTCCACGAATCTTTCTTATATTCACAGCTCCCAGGAGGGGTCGGCTGTACCGGCATGAGGAACGCCACGCCAGCGGAGGGGCTTCCGGGCAAGAGGATCGTTCCCCCCTCTCCTGTGACTGCTGGCACACCTGAACAGCCACGAGGACTAGAACCTTGACTCTTCTTTTTTTTGCTTGCTGTTTGTTCCTTAAATGGAAGCGAATTCCACAAGCCGTTCGGTGTTTACGAGCCTCCGGGCTTGCCTGAAAGTTCGTCAGCTCTAATCCTGACCTGATTGTCAGGGACCAAGCGGCTGCCTCTCAACCTCCGGCTTCGAACCCGCAAAAGAGAGCGAGAATTGCCGGCGGCCCAGAAGGAAAGCAAGGCCGGGCGTGCTCTTACACTTTCGAGAACAAGTGAAGTGCTTTTTGTTTGGTACCTTGAACGGGAGAAGCTCTTCCCCCAATCTGATCCTGCCGCTCAGACGTCTCTGAGAAGCAAAGTGAAGGGCTGGAAAAACCTTCACAGGAACATGGAAGATCTTCCCCAAACGTCTCCTTCTGCTGCCGTGAGCCGGAAGGGCAAACTAATTGCATCATCGTGTTACACGCTAGATAAATCAGCCGTGATCCAGATGAACTCTGTCACGCCTAGAGCGGCGGCCTGACAGACTTCCATGTAGGGAAGCGTTTGATCTCCCCTCGATTTCTGACTGTAATCCTGGAACTCAAACCTCTGCCCATAAAAACCTCTGCCAGCCTCCATCTCCTGTTGTCGTGTGCCGAGAGGATGTCTGGCGCCTGCAAGGAGGGAGGCCCCTTTGGGGTCGTCTTCTCAAAGCTGCAGTCATAAAGGGGGAGGCGTGCAGAAGTGGCCTGGCTGCCATTGGCGAAGCTGCTGTGATGTCAGAGAGAGGGGCAGGGTGGATTGGGTCTCTTTCACATCACCTCCTTTTAACTGGAGATGCCGGGGATCGAACCTGGGACCTTCTGCGTGCCAAGCAGAGGCTCTGCCACTGAGGTACAGCCCCACTTCATGGCTCTCCGGCGTCTCAGGCGGAGGTCTTTCCCATCTCCTCCTGCCGGGTCCTTTTCAGCTGGAGATGCCGGGGATTGAACCTGGGATCTTCTGCATGGCAAGCAGAGGCTCTGCCACTGAGCTACAGCCCCACTTCATGGCTCCCTAGGGTCTCAGGCGGAGGTCTTTCCCATCCCCTCCTGCCTGGCCCTTTTAATTAGAGATACCAGGGATCAAACCTGGGACCTTCTGCATGCCAAGCAGAGGCTCTGCCACTGAGCTATAGCCCCACTTCATGGCTCTCCAGGGTCTCAGGTGGAGGTCTTTCCCATCCTCTCCTGCCTGGTCCTTTCAACTGGAGATGCCGGGGATTGAACCTGCGACCTTCTGCCTGCCAAGCAGAGGCTCTTCCACTGAGCCACAGCCCTGCTTCATGGGTCTCCAGGGTCTCAGGCGGAGGTCTTTCCCTTCATCTGCTGCCTGGTCCTTTATGGTGGGGGATTCAACCTGGGACCTTCCGCGTGCCAAGCTGATGCTCTACCACTGAGCCATAGCTCCCACCTGAGCAAGATGACCTTGAACGTTAGACAATCCTCCAAAAAAACAAAATTCGTACCCAAGGGTTCTTAAAAAATTATTATATGCAAATACTATATGTGCACATTGTACATAATTTTTCATAAATTTAGGATGCCCACCTCTTTTGCTAATGGCACATGTTGGTGGGAAGAAACCAAGCTTGGGGAGGAAGCGCTCTCTGCTTGGGGGTCTCCAAAATCCAGAACTAACCCCGCACGGGGTCCCCAGCTGTCCACATCTGGGCATCACATTTGAAAAGGTGTGAAATCCAAGACGAAGAGGGGGAAATTCTGATTGGGCAATCTGAGCTTTGAAGCGTATTTCTTGCTGAAAGTTCACACACACACACACACACACGCCCAGACCTCTGGCAGCATCTGCATCGGGACAGGCAGGCCCTCGTTCCCCGCATTGTCCAGGAATTGTGTCCCAAGCCAAGGAAGGCAAAACTGAACGGAAGCCGTCTGGGAAGATGGGAAAGGTGCCACAGCCAGGGCGGAGAAGGCCGGAGGAGATCATATCTGGATTAGAAATCACCACTCCTCCCTTTGGGGGGGGGGGGGGGGGGGCTTCTAGTTTCGGTTCGGGGGCCCTTTAACCCTCGCAGGACCACAGAAGGGGAATATGCCCCGCTTCCTCCATCGTGGCCTTTCCCACACGCACTGCAAAAGCCCCGGCCGGCCGGCCCGGGCTGACGTCAAAACCTTTCCAGCGTCTCTTGCGACACTCCCCGTTGCCCGGGACGCACGGCCGGCCCGAGGGGAAGGAAGCGGGCCGGCCCACCCAGCCTTTTCCTCCCCAAGGGGAACGCAGCCCGTGGCCCGGCTTGCACTGACTGGTAGGGGAAAAAAATCCCCTCGTTTCCCAGACTCCTCAGCCGGCAGCCAGAACCACTGTACCTTTGAATGCAAAAGGGTTTTTTTTTCCTGGGCTTGGAGCTGAGGTTGTTAAGGGGTAAGCTAAGCAGTGGCTGACACACACACCCCTGTACTCTTGGCTGGTGTGTGCATGCTTGGTGTCGTGGTTAGGAGCGCGGACTCTAATCTGGGAGAACCGGGTTCGATTCCCCACTCCTCCACATGCAGCCAGCTGGGTGACCTCGGGTCAGTCACAAGTTCCCTCAGAGCTGTTCTCTCATGAGCAGTTCTCGAAAGGCCTCTCTCAGCCCCCCCTTCCTCAGAGGCAGTGCTCCCTCTGAGATGAAAATGTGTGAGCTGGAGGCTAAAAAACTGAGCTAGCTCATACTAACTCAGCTTAGAGGGAATGCTGCCGGGGTGTCTGTTGTGGGGAGGGGAAGGGAAAGGAGATGGTGAGCCGCTCTGGGACTCCTTCGGGTAGTGAAGGGCCATGGGGTATACGTCCAATCTCCTCTTCTTCTTCTTCCTCCACATGCAGCTGCTGGCATGACCTTGGGTCAGCCACAAGTTCTCTCAGAGCTGTTCTCTCAGGAGCAGTCCTCAAAAGAGCTCTCTCGGCCCCGCCGACCTCACAGGGTGTCTGTTGTGGGGAGGGGAAGGGAAAGGAGTTTGTGAGCCGCTCTGAGACCCCTTTGGGTAGTGAAGGGCGGGGTATACATCCAATCTCCTCTTCTTCTTATGGGCAGGGCTGCCAACGTTTTAAACCACCTCTGCTCCCGTGCCTGCTGTGCAGAAGATCTCTCTGCCCCCCTCTCCCATCACACCGGGAAAAGCTCCCCCTCCCCTAGCCACCTTTCTCCAAATTTTTAAACCACCTCTGCTCCCGTGCCTGCTGTGCAGAAGATCTCTCTGCCCCCCTCTCCCATCACACCGGGAAAAGCTCCCCCTCCCCTAGCCACCTTTCTTCGAAGCAGGCCGGAAGGAAAGAGGCAGGAGCAGAGACATTCAGAAGGACGTTGGTCGTGATTGTGGGCTGGGACAGAGCTGCCAACCTCCAGGTGGGGGCTGGAGATCTAGAATTATAACTGATCTCCAGGCGACAGTGATGATGCTGAAGAAGAAGAGATTGGATTTACACCCCATGGCCCTTCACTACCCGAAGGAGTCTCAGAGCGGCTGACAATCTCCTTTCCCTTCCCCTCCCCACAGCAGAAACCCGGTGAGGTAGGCGGGGCTGAGAGAGCTCTGAGAGAACTGCCCTTGAGAGAACAGCTCTGAGAGAACTGTGAGAAGAAGGAGGAGGAGGAGGAGCAGGAGATTGGATTTATACCCCGCCCTTCACTCAGAGTCTCAGAGCGGCTTACAATCTCCTTCCCCTTCCCCTTCCCCTCCCCACAACAGACACCCTGTGAGGCAGGTGGGGCTGAGTGAGCTCTGACAGAAACTGCTCTTTTTCAAGAACAGCTCTTGTCAGAACTAAGGCTTGCCCAAGGTCATCCAGCCAGGTGCAAGTGGAGTAGTGGGGAATCAAACCCGGCTCTCCCAGGTTAGAGTCCCGCGCACTTGACCACTACACCAAACTGGCTCTCAGTTTGATCAGTTCCCCCTGGAGAAAATGGCTGCTTGGGGGGGGGGTAGGCTCCGTTGCTTTATACCCCACGGAGGCCCCTCCCCTTCCCACACCCGGCCCACCACAAACTCCACCCCCAAATCTCCAGGTATTTTGCCAGCGGGAGTCGGCAACCCTAGGCTGGGAAGTCATTTTTGCCGGTCAGGGCCAATGTTCCCTCTAAGCTGTGGAGTCTTGTGAGCAAAAAATCAGCTTTGTGAGCTACTGGCATTAAAGTTGTGAGCGAGCCATTTGGCTACTGCATAAATCAGTTTGCTTTGGAGCCCTCCTTCCTCAGCTGAGACAAAAATGTGTGAGCCGGAGGCTAAAAAACTGTGAGCTGGCTCACACTAACTCAGCTTAGAGGGAACATTGGTCAGGGCTCCGGTGGCAGCCATTGCCTCTGTTCTTCCTGACTCAGGAATCACCATCCAGATTCTTTCCAGCAGGTCTCCAAAAACTACTACTACTCCCATTTAGTAACCCATTTAGTGTTCTGTACTTGCCATTCCACTTACAGGAGCTCCAAGCCCAGCCAAGATCCAGAGCACGAAGAACATGGCCTCCCCCGAGTCCCGGGTTGGCAGCAGCGCGGTACCAAGAGGGATAATCCTTGTTCGTGGAGCAGGGAGAGGGCTGAAGGGGTATGACCAAGTTGAACACAGGAAGCTGCCTTTTACTAGGTCAGATCCTTGGTCCAACAGGGTCAGTCTTGTCTACTCAGACAGGCAGCGGCTCTCCAGGGCGGAGGTCTTTCCCATCCCCTCCTGCCTGGTCCTCTCAACTGGAGATGCCGGGGATCGAACCTGGGACCTTCTGCATGCCAAGCAGAGGCTCTGCCACTGAGCTATGGCCCCACTTCATGGCTCTCCAGGATCTCAGGCTGAGGTCTTTCCCACCACCTGCTGCCTGGTCCTTTCAACTGGAGATGCCGGGGATTGAACCTGGGACCTTCTGCACGCCAAGCAGAGGCTCTGCCACTGAGCCACAGCCCCACTTCATGGCTCTCCAGGGTCTTAGGCGGAGGTCTTTCCCATCACCTCCTGCCTGGTCCTTTTAACTGGAGATGCCGGGGATCAAACTTGCGACCTTCTGCATGCCAAGCAGAGGCTCTTCCAATGAGCTACAGGCTCATTGTATGGTTCTCCAAGGTTTCCGGCAGAAGTCTTTCACATCACCTCCTGCCACGTCCTTTTAACTGGAGAAGCTGGGGATCGAACCTGGGACCTTCTGTATTCCAAGCAGACGCTCTACCACTAAGCCACAGCCCCACTTCATGGCTCTCCAGGGACCTCTCAGGTGAAGGTCTTTCCCATCACCTTCTGCCTGGTCTAGCTAACTGGAGATTCCAGGGATTGAACCTGGGATGTTTTATATGCTGAGCAAATGCACTGAGCCACGGCCTTTCCCTGCATGGCCCCCTTCACACCGACCCGTTCAGCCCTGGCCAGCCCCTTAGCTAATGAGGGGTTTTTTGGGGGGGAAGGGGAGCCACCAGCAGTCGGGATCTCCAATAGCGCCACATTTGGTTACCGGGGATACAAGTCTCCCTTAGTAGCCCGTTGCAGCACCCAGATGCAAGAGAAGTGAAACTGACCAGAGCCGGGCGTTGAAATTGACCTTGGCTGAACAGACCAGACGATCTCCGCTGGCTCTTTGGAGACCGGGGTAGATGGGTGGGTGGGATTGGGAGGG